GGGACTCCTATTCACACAGAGCCTCCCTTCTGTCCAGGTTTGGCCCCGCACATGTCCACCAAGATCAAGGCCTCCTGGGTGTGAGGCGCCAGGGCTGGCTGCTGACTGCCAGCCTGTGACTTGGAAGGAGAAAACAGATGATTCCAGAATCATCTGTAGAGCTCTACAGGTGAAAAGAACACTGTCCACTGAGAGCTAGAATGACCTCCAGAACAGACGGGAGCTGGAAAGGGGGCAGGCCTGTGATCCCAGCACTCAGGAGGCTGAGGCAAGAGGATCACCAGCAGTTTGAGACCAGCCTGAGCTACATACCGAGTTCAGGGCCAGCCTGAACTTCACAGCAAGATCCTGTCTCAAAAAACCAACCAACCAAATAAGTAAATACTGACCCTGTCTTAATACTCGGGAGGCTGAAGCAGGACTGCTGCAAGTTTTAGGCCAACATGGGCTACACAATGACCTGACTGAAAAACAAAAACAAAAATGCTTAGTGTTGCTAGGGGTTTAGCTCAGGGGTACAAGCACCTGCTTGGCAAGCGCGAGGTCGTGAGTTCGATCCTTGGTACAAATAAATAAAATGTTGAGTTTTTTAGTTCAAATACCAAACCATAAGCAAACTCAAGTCATATTTTGCTTTTTTTTTTTTTTTTTTGGTACCGGGAATCAAACTCAAGGAAAACATTTTAACTTAAGAAGAATTAAGAACCTCGGGTTTGGCTAAATGACCCAATATTTTAACATTTTTCAAAAATAGATAAATAATAGCCAGGCATGGTGGCTCACACTTGTAATCACAGCACTTGGGAGGTTGAGGCAGGAAGGTCCTTTCGAGTTAGAGACCAGGCTGGGCTACAAAGTGAGGTCAAGGCCAGCCTGAACTGCACAGAGACCCTGTCTTAAAAAGACCAAAAAATAAGTAAGTATGGCCCACTTGGAGGCTGATGCAGGAGGATCACAAGTTTGAGCCCAGTCTGAAAACAAAAAAAAGGGCTGGGAATGTAGTGCGGTACAAAGGCCCTGGGTTCTGTCCCGAGTACTGTGCCACCAAATTAGTTACTTAAAATTCTAGCATCAGAGCCAGGCGTGGTGACTCATGTCTGTCATCCCAACACTCAAGAGTCTGAGGCAGGATGAGTTGTGAGTTCAAGACCAGCCTGGGCTACATAGTAAGTTCAAAGCCAGCCTGAACTGTATAGTGAGACCCCATCTCAAAAAAGACAAAAAAAAAAAAAAAAAAAAAAAAGAGAGAAATAAATAAGGCGCCAGAGATTCGTGCTAACCTGGCAAGCACGAGGTCGTGAGTTTGATCCCTAGAACCAGAAAAAAAAAATATATATGTGTGTGTGTGTGTGTGTACATATATAAAAGTTTCCATGGAAAAAATAAGAACAAAAAGTCAAAAAACAACAAATGATAACACATGCAACATATATGATGGACAAATTTGCGTAGTAGAGAACTGTAAGTCAGGTGTAGTGACACATATCTGTAATCCCAGTACTTTGAGAGGCTGAGGCAGGAGGATCATAAGTTTGTGGCTTAGTAAGAGCATATTTCTTTTTTCTTTCTCTTTTTAGCAAAAAGAAAAGCCAGGATATAGCTCAGTGGCACAGCATCTGCCTGGCAAGTGGGAGATCCCAAGTTTGATTGCTAGTACCATAAAAAGAAAAAAAAATTTTGTTTTCTTTTTTGGTAGTTGGAACAGAACTCAGGATCTTACACCTGCCAGGCAGATGCTGTGTTACTAAGCTACATCTGTGGGTCCTTATTTAGCTTTTTGACACAAGGTCTCCCTGTGTAGTCTAGGTTGTCCTTGAATTCATGGTGACCCTCCTGCCTCAGCCTCCTGAGTGCTAGGATCACACTGTATACCACAGGACCCAGCTATATATCATTTTCAGATTTTTTTTTTTTCTTTTTCGTTTTTATCAGTACCAGGGATCGAACTCACGACTGCCTGCTTGCAAGGCAGGCGCGCTTATGCCGCTGAGCTATATTCCCAGCCCATTCATTTTCAGATATTACAAAATGCTATTTGGATTTTTTTCCCCAACAGCTTTAAGGTATAGAAACTACTGTCAGCTCCTGGGCTGGAGCAACACTGCATGTAGCCATGGGTGGCATCTCATTGAAGTTCAAATGAAAGATGAGAATCAGGCTTGGGATGGCAGATGGGCAGGGGAGACAGGGGCCAGCGACATGGGCCAGAAACCTTGGAGGCGCTGATCAGGGACTTCAGCAAAGGATGATGCACTCCTGTGATTTTCCCGGGACTTAAACATCTGGTTGGATCCAAGCTTCAGTTTCCCCAATCTGTACCAGGGCCCAAACGGGGCCCCAATGCCGGGCTCAGTCTGCATGCAGTGGGGGAGCATTCTGGTTGGCCAATCCCCTGGGGGACCCTAGCTGACCTGGTCCCCAGTGTGGCTACCCTCCTTTGCCACACCACCATGCAGGGGACACTGGGACAGTAATACCAGCACTCGACGAGCTCTTGCACTCATGCAGACAATGGTTTGGCAGCCTCCCAAGTGCTGGAATTACAGCTCGTGCCACCTAGCCCGGCCTGGGGGACTGCTTTTATTCTTGGTCTTGTTTTGTAGAGGAGCCTAAGCTTGGGGACCTGTGGAGAGAGAGGTGCATGTAGGAGGCAGGTGTGGGGTGCTGAGCAGACTGGGGCAGCACTGAGGTAGTGCTCAGGTCTCCAGATGACAAGGGCCAGGCACAGGGACCAGTTGACTTTGGCAGAAAGCAAAGGTCTGGCCCAGGAACAACTGGGTAGATAAGAGGGGCCCAGGGAGGCAGGACAGGGTGAGGGTGAACCCTCACCTGAGGCTGCTGTCCGGGAAACAGCTCTGCAGAGACTAACAGGTTGCCATAGTGGAACGACTGACCTGCCACTGAATAAACCCTGGGCCTTCATTCACACTACCTGTCTCTGACCCATTTATGAAGCAGTCTCACCAACTCCCTAAGCTGCCCAGACGAGGGTCAACCCTGGGGTCCTCCTGCCTCAGTCTTGCAGAGCACAGGAGCGCTCTATGAACTCTTCCTCTTGCCCCCCAAAAGCTGGATTTCTGTACCCTGCACCTCAAGTGAGGAGTCTGGACCTGCCCAGAGCAATGGAAAGCATTGCTGCCACATGAACACTGGCTAGGGATTCATGGGGGACTTGTGGCAAGGGTGGGGCCCTCAAATGCCAAACCTCAGGTGATGGCCACCTCTGCAGGATGCTTGCCACCTATCAGGTACTGCACAGGAACAGGCTGGGGAAGCTGGCTTTCAGCCTGGATCACTTGCCAGTTCCTAATCAGTAAACTAGAGTCTCATACCTTCTAGTCTCAGGACTGCACATGTCCTTCTGCCCTCATGCCGAGCTGAGCTGCTGAGCTATACCCTTGGCTCTAAAAATGGTTTTTAAAAGAACAGAAAGATCACATATAACCAAACTTTGAAAAAAACTAGATTTGAGCAGGGAATAGTGGTGCACGCCTATAATCTAAGTACTTGGGAGGCTGAGGCAGGAGGATCATTGCAAGTTTGAGACCAGCCTGGCCTACAAAGTTCAAGGGCAGCCTGGACCGAATAAGGAGACCCTGTCTCAAAAACATGAAAGAAAAAAAAAAAAAAGACTAGCATTCACATTTTTGCAAATCACTTTTTATGTCTCACTTAGCAGAAGGTAAGTTCTCCAGTTGGCAGTGCCAGGCTCAATTTGACAAACTGTAGTCTCACAGAAACCTGAGGCTGAAGAAGGGGCATTGTGTGAAACCACCAGATTAGGCCACTACAGATGAGAACCACTACAGAAAATCTCGATGCTTGTCAGTCAGTGTCCATGCAAGCTGGGTGTGGTGGTGCATGCCTGTAATCCCAGCATTCAGGCTGAGGCAGGAGGGTCACTGTGGAGGCCAGTCTGGGCTACACAGTAAATTCAAGGCCAAGCACCACACAGTGAAACCTGGCTTAAAAAACAAACTAAAAACCAAACCAAAACAAAAGAAAAAAACACATACACCAAAAACTAAGCCTGCAGCTAATCAATCAGTATCACAACCGGCAGTTCAGGTGCTAGTGAAGGAAATGTAAGCTTGTCAATTCAGCCCAAAGTGACATCAGTTTTCGCAGTTTTACTTTTGGTGGCCATAAGGACTGCACTGAGGGCTTTGCTCATGCTAGGACTTTACCAGTGCTACAGTCCCAGCCCCAAAACTACTGGGTTTTTTTCTTGTTTTTCATTAGGGTGTCACCATGTTGCCCAGCCTGGTCTCAAACTCAAACTGGGCGCAAGTGCTCCTCTTGCCTCAGCTTCCCAAGTAGCTGGGATCGCAGGCATACACCATCACCCTGGCCAAAAACATTTATTTTTATTTACTTAGTCTTTTTTGAGACAGGCTCTTGCTATGCGGTTTAGGCTGGCCTTGAGCTCACTTTGTAGTCCAGGCTGGTCTCGAACTTCCCATGATCCTCCTGCCTCACCCTCCAGTGCTGGGATCCCAGGTATTTGCCACCATTCTGGCTCCACACATCAGTTTTCAACTTGAATTTATGATGACTCTGTAGCGGCCCGTTCTGGTTTACCTTTCTAAGCTATGGGAAAGCAGTGTCACAGAGTCTCTGCCTGTGCTGCTCTGCGTGGCCACCTCCCACGCTGGGGCCCTCAGGATCCTGGGCAGCAAGGAGCTGAGCAGGGCCAGTGCCCAGGGCCACAAGGGGTGGCGGGAAACAGGGCTGAGGCGGGGTTGTGGCCGCTCACTCAGTGCCTGCTGAGTCCCCCAGGACAGAGCTGCGGGAGCTCCCTGGCTGGCGACATAGCCCTGGCTCACTTAACACCCCCCAGCTTGGAACGGTTCACTTTACACACACAGACACACACACTCATACCCCAGCCTGAGGCGGCCTTGCTTTGTAGCATGTCAGCATGTGCTTTCTGGCTTCGCAAGAGGGGACTCCTGGTTTGTCGGCTTCTTTTGTGAACACGAGAGATAGTGCCCACTGTATAACCCAACAGAACTTTATTTGAGAACTATGGGCAGGGGACAGCAAACTGAAAGACGACGGGGAAGGACACAGTCCTATCTAACTTATAACAATACGAAGTAGGTCGCTTGATGAGTGAGTAACAGTTACATCGGAAAAATTCTTCTAGTGTCCATACCTGCAAGACAAGCAAGGTCCACCATTAATTCCAGGCAAGGTTCCTGTGTGATAGTCATTATTAATTCAGGCTGGCCTTGAACTCATAGTGATCCTCCTGCCTCAGCCTCTCAAGTGTTGGGAACACAGGCGTGAGCCATCACATCCAGATAAGATTCTTGGGTACCAGGAATCAAAATCAGGACCTCATGCTTGCCAGGCCCAGATAGTTTCTTACTTGAGATAAAATCTGCTTAAACACAGGCATGACTTAGGCAAAACTCTAAAAGACAGTTGAGGGCACAGCATGTACCAAGCTTCGGACAGAAGTGGCCCTGGCCTGGCTCAGACCCTTTCCTGGTGACACGCTCTATGTCCATCAACAGGAACTGATTAAAAGCCAGGGTGGTGCCGCACACCTGCAGTCACAGCTCCAGGCCAGCCTGCACTATACGGTGAGGTCCTGTGTCAAAGCAAAGGCTCTTGCGCAGCTACACAGGGAACGGAAAGAGGGCAGTTTACCATGTGCGGACAGGAAATAGCTACCACGTGAGAAAAATCAAGGGCACACTGCACAAGGCGCCCCCACTGTTCACAGAAGCATACATGCAAGTGTCTGCAGGAGTGGCAGAACAGCTGCGGCTGCGGACCATCGGGAAGGTGTGAACTGCTGAGGACCTACCCTGCCCCTCTATGGTGACAGGTTCATGAGGATGCCCATGCACGCTTCCTGAGCACTAAGCAGCATATGATGCCCCAGTGACACACAATGGCACCTGTCTATAATGTAGGAGGCCCAGGGAGCCGCCTGGGGGGAAGTCACTGTGGAAAAATTTCAGTTTGCAGATTCCCGGATTTTGTGCTGTCACAGATGCTAGAACGCTGGGAAGCCATGGGCTGCAAAGCTTTAACACTAGCTAACCCTGCATACTCTACGGTTTCAGTAACCTTGGGCTGGCTCTAAAGCCACCGTGCCCGCCCTGGCCCCAGGACGGGGACACCTACTTTTGGAATTCCCACTCTCTGTTGTCCAGCGGACACACCTGCCGCGTTTTCAGCCAGCGAGAGATACAGTGAAAGTGAAACGCGTGCTGAAAGAGACAAAGACTCAGGATTAGAAACAGCCCTGCTCGGGCTGCGCAGCTCAGTACCTGTCCTTGGCAGGCGCAGACATCTCCGAGGACACGTGGGCTGGGATTGTCACGCCAGTGCAAGTGTGAGCTCCACTTGGTCTGAAAGGAACCATGCCCACTACCCTGGCGGGGGCAGCAGACCCTGACCACACCGGGCCCCAAACCTCTCCATCCTGGGTCACCCTCTCAGGCCGCCCACCCGGCCTTGAGAAACCAAGCCCCGGAATCAGAGCCTCCTCCAGCCCCTTCGAGGGCCACTGCCACTGCCACCACCCCAGCATCTCTCGAGCCCAGCCCCTGACAGGCCTTTGATGGGTGACTGTGTCCCAAAAAGAGAAAAATTGGGGTGAAAGTATTCTGGGCAATAAACTGCATAGCAGCAGCTGTGAGGGCACCAACAGTGATTTTCATGACCAAGACAAGAAGGCAAAGGGCAGGAGTCCCAACTGTACCAGTAGGGACAGGGCACTAGGAGCTGGCTAGATCTGAGGGCAGGAGAAGCCTTGTGCAGGTCTGGGCGGCCACAAACAGGCACAGTCTCAGCTTCACAATGGACACTCATCCTCCTCCTGGCTGCTCCAGGAGCAGCAGAGAGGTCCCCTCAAGCTGTGATTGCTGGGCTGCAGGGGGCTCAGGCAGAAATAGACACCCCACAGAACAACAGAAGCTCACAGAGGCTTGGTCTAACTGCCCTGAAATCTAGTCAGTGTGTCTCTGAAAACAGGCATGCACATTTAGGAATCAGACATTATGGATTATTATCTTGCAAACTGACTTTTGGCAACCAAAAATTTACTTCTGTAACTCAGAATGGAATCCGGCTGAGGGTAGGGCTCACCTCTGTAATCCCAGCAGTCTGGGAGGCTGAGGCAGAAGGATGGTCAAGTTTCAGCATGGCCTGGGCAACTTAGTGAGATCTTAAAATTTATTTATTTATTTTTTTGCTACTGGGGATTGAACTCACAACCCTGCGTTTGCCAAGCAGGCACTTGTCACTGAGCTAAACCACCGGCAAAATTTAAAATTTAGAAGCCACACATGGTGACATATGTCTGTAATCCCAGCACTCAGGACGCTGAGGCAGGAGGATTACTGCAAGTTTGAGTCTAGCCTGGGCTACAAAGTGAGCTCAAGGCCAGCCTGAACTGCATAGTGAGACCCTGTCTCAAAAAGATAAAATTTATAAAAGTGCTGGCATGTAGCACAGTGGGAAGGCCCTGCATTCAATCCCTAGTACCAAAAAACTAACAAAACAGAACAAAAACAGAATCTACAACTGGTCTGCTGTGGGTTCTCAGTAAGCCAACCACAAATTTTCCAGAGTGACAGCCTTTTGGAAGCTGAGTGTCTGCTGACTCTCACGGCTCACGAGGAAAAACACACATTTCCCAGATGCAGAAAAGTCATTTTTGTCAGCCCCCAGGTTTTGTGGACGGGCTTTCTCAAGACACCCACCCCTGGCATGGGAGAGGGAGTGCACTCAGGACAGGGAGGCTGTCAGGCCTCAGAGCCAGCACTCTCCATGTCAGCAGGGCAAGCCACTCAGGCTGCATTAGGCGGATGTGCACAAAGGTCTCTGTTTGGTGACCGTGGCCTACAGAGATGCTGACACTGAGGCCACACCCAAGCCCCACAGTGATGGACAAGCAGGCCCGTCTGATAGTGCTATCTGCACTGCACAGGCAGGAAGCTAAGGCGACTGGCCTCGCTTGGGTGCTGGAGTGGAAGCTTGGAGACAGAGCGCCTGTCAAGTGAGGCATCCTGTGACTGGTGCAGGGCCCCAACAAATGAGGATGGTGCGTGCACTGCAGGCGCAGGTAGGGAAGAGAAAAAGGACCTGGGCGCCAATCTGCGTTTATTCAGATACTTCCACACTTTAGCTTACCAATTACAGGAGTAATTCTGAGCCCTCCCCACCTCAGCCATTGTGGGGGACTCTGGGGATGGAATCCAGGACCACGCACATTCGAGGAAAGTGCTCTGGCACTGACCTATGTTCCCAGCCCTTCCTATTTTGAGACAGTTTTGTTACATTGCCCAAGTTAGCTTCAAACTAGCAATCCTCCTGCTTCAGCCTCCAGAGTAGCTGGATTACAGGCTTGCACAAGGGAACCTAGGGTATATGTGTTCAATGCCCTGGCTTCAATGCACTTAGCAAGGCCCTGGGAACTATGGGTTCTCTGTCTCCTTGGCACAGCAGTCCCGAACAGCACAATTTCAGTATGCATCTGGATGCCTGGGACTGCAAGGGATGTACTGTTAGAACACGCTATAAATGCCACTTAGGCTGTTTGTTCCCCTTCACAGCTGTCACATCCTGCAAGACTGGATACTCAGTCCAATGATGCTGCACAAAGCGCTCCCAGCACAAGCTCATGTAGTGTATCCCCGCTCGTGAGCCCAATCACACTCATGACACACGTGGACTCGAACCCTAAGTCACCAACCCAACTGCACCCCAGACACCTATCCTGGGGGCGGTGCTGGGGACCTGCCTTGCTCCAGAGTCACATCTAGTGCTGATCCCAGAGTGGAGTCCCAGGCTCCCAGGGCGTAGCCTCTGCAGTCACCCAGTGTGTCTCCCACTCTGGGAGTCTCTGTGCTGCTTGAGGCTGCCCACTCCTTTCCCAGGCATTTCACACTGGCAAACTCACATTGCAGACTCCCCAGGCCACGGTGCACTCTTCGGATGTTGCAGATGCCTGGTTGGCTTGGCACTCTATGCCTGTGGGGACAAGAGCAACAGGGTCACTGGGCTGGCCTCGGTGGCCCTGCAGCAGTGCTCAGGGAGTTCATCGGCCGGAACTGGTTCTTGATTAACGTGAAAAAGGCTGAAGAACAGGGAAGGCAGAGATGGGGCTCTGCAGTGTGGCTCCCCATGGCTTCCCAGCCTTCTCTCCAAGCTGCGTCAACAACTGGGGCAAACAGGTGTTTCTCAGTTCTGCACAGGTGGCCTTGTTACAAAGGACCTACCACCTCCTGACCTGCTGCAGGTGGTCTCCAAGCGACCCCTGTGGGTTTCCGAGCTGACTCTTCCCCTCTTCGGCCAATGCCATGGGGCTCAGGCAAGGCTGGTATCAGGCTCCAACCCGCAAGGATGGGGAGTGGACTGTGAACCAGATAGAAGCAACTTAAGTTCCTAGAGCACTGGCAAGGTGGATCCTTCTGGCCCTGGAGCTGGAAACCTGGGGCCACCATACTGGGACACTTAGCACCCCAAAGTGACTGTGTCTTGGAATGAGAGCGACCCCCCCACAGTCACATGGCATCTTCACAGAGGACGAGGAGGGCATGTGAGCATGGGAACTGGTGGGGAGAGCTCGGAGGGGCATAAACACCGCATTCCAAGCCTAAACGTCCTAGCAGAGTGTGCTCTCTGAAAACAGAGCTGCATGGAGCCTCTCTTCTGAAAAAGAGATTCAGGATACAATTTAAACAGGGACATTTACTTCAAAAGATCTTAGGTGAAAATGAATAAAACTGTAAAAAGAAACTCAGATGTTCCTGAGTATATTGGTCTTAGGGGAACAGATGTACCATACTGAGGCTTTTTCTTTTTTTGAGACAGGGTCTAACTGGCCTCAAACTCATAGCAATCCTCCTGCCTCAGCCGCCTGAGTGCTGGGCTTACAGTCATACACTACCATGACCTGCTACAGTGAAGTTTTTGTTTCCCTTTCAAAACTGTGAGATCAAAGGCTCTGTAATCACAGAACCTGCTTTTGCTCCAGAGTCACACTACAAACAGCTGCACCTGGCCTGCCACCTGACATGGAGTCCGTGCAATGTATTCCAGGGTTTACTGGGGCTGGGTGTGTACGGCTACATGTCAAAGGTTGCAGAGAAAGTAAAAATCTGATATCCTTCAAGTTGGATCCTTAGATTTCCTCAGATGAGGATTATTTTTATGAAATTAGCTAAATAAGGACAACACACTCCAGACCACTCCTGTCTCTCAGGAGTTATTCTTATTTCCCATTCCGATTCCCTATTTGTTTTCTCCAAAAAATTTCCTACTCTTAAAATCAGCTAATAAAGGGGCTGGGAATTTAGCTCAAAGGCATAAGCACCTGCCTTGCAAGCACATGGCCGTGAGTTTGATCCCTGGTACCAATAAAAAACAAAAAACAAAAAAATAAGCTAATAAAGAACCACGATCAAAGTAAGGGCCAAAGCTGGGCATGATGGCACATGCCTACAGTCCAAGCACTTGGAAAGCTGAGGCAGAAAGATCGCTGTGAGGCCAGCCTGGGCTACACAGTGAGTTCAAGGCCAGGTTAGCAGAGATAATGGAGAAATGGCCTGGTCTACTACGCGTTTCAGTGTTTCAAACAAACAAGATGTGGGCCAATATACCAAAGCTGAGCTGGGTACGGTGGTGCATGCCTGTGATCCCAACACTTGGGAGGCTGAGGCAAGAGGACTGCCATGAGTTCAAGGCCAGCCTGAACTGCAAAGCAAAACCCTGTCTTAGAAAGAAAGGAAAGAAACAAAAAACAAAAACTTAAACATGAAACCATAGGATAGTCCACAGGATCCACGTATATTCCCAGGAGTTAGCTTGACCAGGGCATGGTCATGATTGTTATTTATTTATAGCTATGTGTCTAATCATTTAACACCAAATCAAATTTGTTGGAAAATGGCCACAGCTAAATCAAGATTCTTACTTTTGTTTTTGTTTTTTTTTTTTTTTTTTGGTCTTTTTTCCTTTTTATCAGTACCAGGATCAAACTCACGACTGCCTGCTTGCAAGGCAGGCGCTTATGCTGCTGAGCTAAATCCCCAGCCCCAAGATTCTTACTTTTGGAGGTGGAGTGGTAGAATACAAGACTCTGGTTCAATCACTATAATTTAAAAAATAATCGTTACAAGAATCATAAATCCAAACTGTACATGGAAATACATGTAATCCCAGTACTCAGGAGGCTGAGGCAGGAGGATGGTTACAAATTTGGGTCACACACTGAGTTCAAGGCCAGTCTGAATTATATAGTGAGACTCGGTCTCAAAAAAAAAAAAGCCCAAAAAACTACAGGATGTCTTGGGGTGTAACAATACACCCCTAAATGATGGCTGTGGGGAAATACAGTCAGAAAAAATACCTCTGAGCAACTTCAAAGTAAGAGCTGAGGCTCAGTTCTGCTAGTCCTACATCACCCACTGATTTAGCTACTAGCTCTGCTGCCCTCCAATACAGGACACGTGGGTCGAATCTGAGATACACACTGAATTTCTAAGACTTGGTACAAAAACAATGTAGTGTATCTGTCTCTTTTCTTTAAGCTGCCATGCTGGAGATCAAATCCAGGGCCTTGTGCATGCCAAGCAAACACTCTACCACCCAAGTATATCCTCAGCTGTGAGTCGTGGTGTTTTTTTGTTTGTTTTGAGAGAGGGTCTCGCTAGGCAGTTTAGGCTGGCCTTGAGCTCACTTTGTAGCCCAGGCTGGCCTTGAACTTGCAAAGATCCTTCTGCGTCAGCCTCCCAAGTGTTGGGATTACAGGTGTGTGCCATCATGCTGGCTTTTTTTAAAACATGGGTTACATGTTGACAATATCTAAGATATGACAGGTTAAATACAGCAGTATTAAAACTGATGCTGAAGGGGGCTGGGGATTTAGTTAAGCGGCATAAGTGCCTGCCTTGCAAGCAGGCAGTCATGAGTTTGATCCCTGGTATCGATAAAATTGAAAAAGACAAAAAAAAAAAAAAAAAAAAAAAAAAACAAAAAACTAATGCTGAAGCCGGGCGTGGTGGTGCACGCCTGTAATCCCAGCACTCAGGAGGCTGAGGCAGGATCAACAGTGCTTCATCCTGAATGCATCCCTGTCAACTTTAGATTAACTTTTTCTGCGAGCTGGGTTTGGTTCCAGGACATCATTAAAAAAAAAAAAAAAAAAAAAAAAAAAGCAAACCACTCTGTTCAAATACACCAGTGGCCCAGACACAGAACCTGCATGTGTTATGCTTTGCATCTCCTTGTGAAGGAGGCATTGGTCATAGCAAGACACTACAATCTCTGCACCCTTCCCCACTTCCTCCCGCCCTCCTCCGATTACTCACAGAGATCCATAATGTGGTTTCTGCAGATGGCACAATTATCAACCACAATGTCCCAGGCCCACAGGGCTACCGCATTCCACTGCAAAGAGAAGGGGGGACAGAGCACTCTCCTGGAGACAGGACATACACACAGGGATTTGTGCCGCTGGCTACACTTACCATATACCATTTCTATGGCCGCAGGGACCAGCACATAGAAATAGTTGCAGGTATATACTAGTCTTATTATACCGGAGGATGACAATACGCTACACTTTTGCTCTCCCATCCTATGTACCCTGAAATGAATAAGCATTTTTTACTTTTTTCCTCTATCCTCTGAAGTAATTTAGCCATAGTAATGCAAGCAAATTAGAAGTCACTCTGAAGGGTTTGTTTTCAGTAAAAGCAGAAACTTGAACTGCTGTGCGAGCTGCAGGAAACGTGTGCTCTTCCAGGCAACTTGGAAGCATGAGCAGGAGTGGTGGAAAGCTTTAAACTAAATGAACTAAGACGATTGGATCATAAAGTGGGTAATCGTGGGATAAGCAGGCTAACTAGTCAGCGGTGTCAGGACCCACAACAAGGTCACTAAATCTTAACAGATTACTTCGTAACACTGCAGAATGCCAGTAGAATCTTGTTTAGTTCTTACCATCAAATACACTGATATTCTCAAACGTTACACATTCAGACTCATAAGTTGGAGAATTCCTGTAAGTTTATCGAATAGTACTTAAATAATTCTTACTCTCTGGTTTCCACAAGTACATTTACTCCCAAACATCCCTTTATTTCACGAATTTGATGTCACTTCTCAAGTGTTTATTTTTCTCAGAGGCGATTCTTGGGAATCTAGCAACTTATCCCGCACTTTTTCTACCTCAGCAGTGTTAACTTGGAGGAAAACCCCCACCCTCTCATTCTTAAATATGTCTGCGGGCACTAAATAAGCAGCAGCGGCCACAATGAGCCGCCCCAAAGCAAAGGGGGGAAAAATGCTCAAAAGGAGGTGGAACGGCATCTGCGTTAAGCCAGTGTTAGGGTATATAACAGCTTCCCTTCCCATTTCACAATCTTCATTTCCCACAGATTTATTTTATCTCAGGTAGGAACTGACGCTCTTCTCCCCAACCGTAGGCGAACCACTGAGACACCGTGGGCAAAATGACACGTTTCCCGTCTCTACTTTCCCACTCTCATCAGCTCATTTGCTACTATTTACTCAACTCTTCCTAAAAGGCACAAGGTCAGAGCTCGCGTTTTCTCTTTTAAAATTCCACAGTGCTTTTTCGATTTTTGAGTTGTTGGTCTTAACGAGGGACCTGGACGTGACAGAGAACAAGGCCCGGGAGATAACTGCAGTCGTCTCCTAAGAACCAAGCTTTACTACTTTCGGCTCTTAAATCTGAGGGGGCGACGCCCAGAGAGGGGTCTCAAGGAGGTCTCCACTTGGCGAGGATCAAACTGGCGTCCCCCAGGGTGAGAGGACTCCAAGGTCCAAGATGGGGCGGGGCCTCCAATGCAGTAGAGCTCAGCTTGCCGGCTTTCGCCGCACTGCCCCATCCTCCACCCACCGCAGTCGCTAGACTCCCCTTTTCCCCCACCCCACGCCGGGTTTTCCCCACCCTTCGGCCACTCTAGTCACAGCTCAGGCACTTGGCTCCTGGGGCCAAGTCGCAACCACACGCATGTCAAGAAGCACCTCGGTGATTGGGTCCAGCGCGCCTCCAGAGAAACCCACACTGCTCAGGCGAGTGGGCCGCCATCACGCCCATCAAGCCTAAGTCCCGCCCCTAGTTGCCCTGCGTGGTACCCAGTCTCAGGAACGCCCTGAAATTTAGCACTTTCCTCCGCGCCTCGGCCACCCTCTGGCCTGCCAGCCAGATCCGCGCCTCTCCAGCTTCCTGAGGAAGGCACTAGGGAGACCTAACCTTTTTCACTTCGAACCGCTTTTTGCCCGCGCCGCTGTTGGTGCCGCTCGGGGTATCCACATCCATCGCTGCGGCCATTTTGGAAACACAGGGCCCGTCGTCCGCCAATGCGCCTGCGCGACGACGCACGCCTCGCTCTTTCCCCACGCTTGGGCACCACCTACTGCACCCCTCCCACAGTAGCGCGAGAGAGGGCGGAGGGGGCGGAGCGTGTGACCACGCCCCTTAAAGGTGCTGCCTCCGTTGCCCCACCCCCCCACCCCGCGTCAGCCGGGGAGCAGGCAGCGGGCGGCGTTGCCGGGGCGGGGTGGGGCGGGGCGGGGCGGGGTTGACGACGTGAGCGGCTCGGGTGGAGATGTTCGCTGGGATCGCGCCGTGCCCCTCCGCGGGGATCCCGGCTGCGCTCCCTCCGCTTCTCTCCGCCGGCCCGCCTCACTGCGCCGCTTCGGGGCGCTCGGTTTCCTGCCGTCGAGCGTCGGCTCCCCACTGTGGCCTTCCGCAGACCTGAGCCTCTTCCGAGCTTCAGACCCGGGCCCGAGCCCGGGCCCCTAGGCATGAGGCCAGGGCCCAGGCTCCATCAGGTTTTTCGATTTGTTTTTGTTTTTATTTTTTCTCGGTTTTTGAGAGAAGGTCTTGTTTTGTAGTTCAGGCTGGCCTGGAAGTCGCGAAGATCCTCCTGCCTCAGCCCACAGGGGGGCAACACGCGGCTTCTCTTTGATGTATTCGAGTGCACATCCCCAGCCCACTTTTGTGGAGATCTTTTTGCCCTCATTTTCTGCCAGGATCTGTGCCGCTGTGAAGCTGCCCTCCCAGCAGCGGCCCAGCTTGGTTTGGGGTTGCATCCTGCTGCCATGACTCCCTGCCAAGAGCGCCAGTTCCAAGCCACTGTCCTGTCTGGATTTTCTTAGATATGTAGCCCTGCAGAGCGTGGGCTCTAGATCATTCTTAAATCGTACCCAGTTTACCTGAGATCAGGTATTCTGTTAGTTGAGGGCCCTGAAGAGGTGCACAGTTAATTCCATCTATTCAGAAGGCTGAGGCGGATGATTCCAAATTCAAAGCAGCTTGGGCAATTTAGAGAGATTGAAATTTTGTCTTATTTCATTTTTTCTCTTTGAAATAAAATGGATTTTAAACAATAAATCTGGACATGGTGGCCCAGGTTGATAATCCATTAGTCTGGGAGGCTGAAACAGGAGGACTCCAAATTCAAATGCAGTCTGGGCAGTTCAGTGACAAAGACACAGCCTCAAAAAAGAAGGGCTGGAGATAGAGCTCAGTGGCACAGTGTCTGCCTGGCAAGCCTGAGGTCATGAGTTCGATTCCTGAAACCCTCCTCCCAATAAAAAGGACTGGGTAGTAGCTCTGTTGAAAGCCCAGGGTTCAGGCCATGTGTGGTGGGGCATGACTGTGATCCCACCACTCAGGAGGCTGAAGCAGGAGAATTCCAGTGATTTTGAGGCCAGTATGGGATACATAGATTGTCTCAATCCCGCACCCCACTTCCTTTCCCCCCAAAAAACCCAGGGTTCAATGCCCAGTATCATAAAATAAATTAAAAAAAAAAAATAAAAGCTACACACACACAACCCAGCCAGGTGTGGCAGTGCACATCTGTAACATCCCAGCACTCGGGAGGCTGAGGCAGGAGGACTGCTGTGAATTCAAGCCCAACTGAACTACATAACAAAACCGTCTCAAAAATAAATAAATAAATAAATGACTAGGGACACACTTTAGTAGTAAAGCTCCCCCCCCCTCCCCGCCCCAGGGTTCCACTCGGTATCAGAAAAGCACACAAAGAAAAATGGAGAGTGATGGAATGTGTCCACTTTTATTGTTGGACCAGGAAACCTGCGATCGTTTCCCTCTGCCACAAACAGGAAGAGTAAATCTGTGCCAACATCTCAGTGCAGTTTAACTTGAAGAGAAAACTGATGGGAAAACTGGAAGGCTCCTTGAGCCTTACCAACATCTTTCTCACATGGAGTTCTTTTTTTGGAGACAGTCTCATTATATAGTGTATACTGGGCTTGAGCTCACTTATGTAGCCCAGACTGGCCTCAAACTCCTGGTGATCCTCCTGCCTCAGCCTCCTGAGTGCTCAGCCAGTTCCAGTGGTTACACTGTCAGCTAGTCATTCTCTGCTGCCAGATCTTGCGACACTGCCAGGACTAACTTGGTATTGAGCAGATACTCTGCATGTGCAGGCTCCTGGCCTAAAAGGATCCCCCCCAGGACTCTGGATTAGAAATAATACACAGGGGGCTGGGGATTTAGCTCAGCGGCATAAGCGCCTGCCTTGTAAGCAGGCAGTCATGAGTTGGATCCCTGGTACCGATAAAAAAGGAAAAAGACAAAAAAAAAAAAAAAAAAAAAAAGAAATAATACACAGATGGGCATGTAAGTACATTAGCAAGTGCCAAGTATCTGGCTCTGAGAAGAGTGACATTTAAACTCAGGCCTGTAATCTTAGCCCCTGGGAGGCTGAGGCAGGAAGAGCACCATGAGTTTAAGGCCAATGTGGGCTTAGACAGAGTTCAAACCCCTGTCTCATACCCTGCACCCCACCAGATGGCCTAACTGATCTGCTTCCCATTCCCATATTTTTCCTCACCCACTGTTTATTGTGGATACGCTCTGAGAAAAGACATCTCAAATTTCACCTTTGGGCTGGGGGTTTAGCTCAGCAGAAGTGCCTGCCTGGCAAGCGCAAGGTCACGAGTTTGATTCCTGACACCTCCCCCAACCCCAGAGGCACTCCAAATTTCATTGTTGTGTGAACAGAATGTGGTTAACATAAACACCTATATGGTATGGCCTGATGCATTGCTGAATATTGTAGGACCCTGTAAACAATAAAAGCAGTATAAAAGGGCTGGAACTTGCTCTGTTGTAGAACATTTGCTTAGCATGAGCAATGCCCTGTATTTTTGTTTAGTTTTGGGTTAGGGTCTGGTAGCCCACGTTGGCCTCAAACTTGCAGCAATCCTCCTGCCTCAGCCTTCTGAATAGTGGAGTTACAGGTAAGTGCAGCTACACCCTTTTGTTGTTTTAATTTGGATTTTTATGGAACTGGAGATTGAACTCAGGGTCTTCACATTGAGCTACATCCCTTTAGACAGGATCTTGCTAAAATATGTGTGAGCCAGGTGTAGTGGTACACTCCTATAATTCTACCATTTGGGAGGCTGAGGCAGGAGGATCACCAGTTCAGTTCAAGGTCAGCCTGGGCTACATAGTGAGCCTCTGCCACAAAATAAGACAAAACATTAAAGTGTGTGTGATAACAGGGATTGAACTCAGGCCCTTTACATTGAGCTATATCCTCAACCCTTGCCTCACCTTTTGTTTTGTTTGGGACAGGGCTTCACTATGCAGTTGAGGCTGGCCTCAAATCTCATGGCAATCCTCCTGCCTCAGCCTCCTGAGTGCTGGGATTACAGGCAGGTGCCATCTCACCTGGGTTTTCCTCTGTACTCTTCGATATTTCCAGTTGCCAGCTTCCACTCTGTGTCTGGCATATATGATGTAAAAAGAAAACCCAGGAACCTTGTGATTGCTCTTCTGTGAAAGTCCCTAGTTACTCTGCCTTCTCTCCATCTTTCAGGGTCTTCTTTCATCTAATGGCTCTTTCCTGGGGCTGTGTGGTGGCCTTAGTGCAGAGGAATGGGGGAAAGCTTTCAAAGGCAACCTGAGCCAGGATGTGGCTCAGCTGCACAAGTGCCTGCGTGGCAACTTTGAGCGAGTCCCAGAACCAAAACGATGGTGACCTGACTGTGTGTCTCCTGAGTTCAAGCTTCTGGTATCACTTGTGTTTCTGTCACCATGGATGAGGGCTGGATCGCTTGTGTGGCCTCCCCTGTGGATCACTGAGCCTCCTGTGGAGGCGGGCAATGTTTAACGCCCATAGAGGAACCTTCTTGTGTGATATGCGCTCATTTCTCCAGTGCAGATCCTTTTTTTTTTTTTTTTTTTTTAAACGGGTACCAGGGATCGAACTCACGACCATGCGCTTGCAAGGCAGGCACTTATGACGCTGAGCTAAAATCCCCAGCCCCTTCCTGTGCAAATCCTACAGCTGGGGCCAACTTCGAGATACCACCACAGTGGGTGCTGGAGGAATGGGAATAGGTGATGCACCTGCCACCGCGGATGCTTCCGGTCAAGCGCTTATGACTGGGCAGCCTCCAGCCTCAGCCTGCTCTGCAGGACACAAGGTGGGTGTCCCATTTCCCATGGTGGGGGGGGGAGAGAGAGAGAGAGAGAGAGAGAGAGAGAAGTAGTTTAGTACCAGCCCATGAAACCAATTGGTTCAGTAATTTTGCATGCTGGCTATTAAAGCAGTAACTGAAACCTTTTTTTTTTTGGTACTGGAAATTGAACCCAGGGCCTTTACACTGAGCTGCATCTGCAGCCCTCCACTCCCCACTTTTTTCTATGAATTTTGACACAGGGTCTGGTTAAGTTGTTAAATTGCCCTGGCTGTGCTCCAATTTGTGAACCTCCTGCCCCAGCCTCCCAAGAGTGCTAGGATACCTGCCATGCCTGGCAGTTAAGACCTTGTTTGGAAACTCTTGTCAGCATGCCATAGCTCCCACCTTTTCCTGTTTCAAAATACCTTGTACATGGGCTGGGGATTTAGCTCAGCGGCATAAGCACCTGCCTTGCAAGCAGGTGGTCGTGAGTTTGATCCCTGGTACCAATAAAAATGAAAAAGACAAAACAAAACAAAAAACCCCCAAAATACCTTGTACTTCCCCTTTCCTAAAAATCCACTGGAAGTATCGTTGTTGTCTGCTTGCTACTGTACCATAATTTAAAAAATAAAAGGGGCATTTAGCAAATGATTAGTTAAATAGCAGATCTTTTGGGCTCAGTCAGCATGGAGCGGTTGACACTCAGAAGGTTCTGTGGATATTTTAGAAGTATGTTGAATGAATGGGTACAAAAATGCCACTAAAATGATAATCTATTGCATTTAAACAGTGGAAGTATGAAGAGCCATGCGTGGTAATTCCAGCTCTGTGGGAGGCTGAGGCAGGAAGATGGCAAGTTGGAGCCCCAGCTTGGGCAATTTAGTGAGACTCTGTCTCCAAAAATAGAAAAAGGCTGGGGATGCAGTGCAGAGGGCCTGGGTTTGATCCCCAGTACCAGTAAATAAATAGATAAAATAAAAAGGAGTCTTCAAACAGTTGTCTCAGCTTTGTGTGGTCACATCTAGGATTCAGAAGGCTGCAGCCACCCCCATGGCAGGCGGGTTTCCAGTGATGCAATCCTGCTGTGAGTCTCCATGGCTCCACGGTGACATCTCTGAGGTCTGTGACAGGCCTGCAGAAAGCCAGCGAGCTGTACATCGCTGCTCACTCCCCCTACCCCTCATCCCTGCAACTGCTCCTTCACAAGCTTCAACAGTTTTTAAAGACAAAATTGTGCCGGGTGTGGTGGTACACTCTTGTAATCCCAGCACTTGGGAGGCTGAGGCAGGTGGATCCTTGCAAGTTCAAGGCCAGATTGGGCTACAAAGTGAGCCCAAGACCAGCCTGAACCGCACTGAGAAACCCTGTCTCAAAAAGACCAAAAAAAAAAAAAAAAAAAAAAAAAAAAATTGTGCCCCCAGCAGTCTCCTGCTTTAAGCCCTCCAAGGCCTTCCCGTTAGATCTGTGATAAAATTCGGGGCTGGGGATTTAGCTCTGTGGCTTAAGTGCCTGCCTGGTAAGCTTGAGGTCATGAGTTCTATCCCTGGCACCAAAAAAAGAAAAAAAAAAATCTGTGATAAAATTCTACCTGATCCAGCTCCAGGAGCCATGCTTAGTTACTTTTCTCATTGTTGAGACAAAATACCCAACACCCAGAGTTAGAGACCTGGAGTGATGGCCCTTGCCTGCAACCCCGGTACTGGGGAGGCTGAGGGTTGCTATGAATTCCAGGTCATCCTTGACTACAGAGAGAGACCCTGTCTCAGAAACAAAAACAAAACAAAACACACACACACACAACAAAACAAACAACAAAGTTAAAAGTGGAAAGGTGGCCGGGCGTGGTGGCTCATGCCTGTAATCCCAGCAGGAGGCTAAGGAGAGAGGATCCTTGGGAGTCGAGACCAGCTTGGTCTACAAAGTGAGCTCAAGGCCAGCCTGAACTGCATAGCAAGATCCCATCTCAAAAGAGACAAAAAAAAAAAAAAAAAGTTAAAAAGTATCAAGCAATTGATGTTGGGTGTGGTGGCACAGGCCTGTAATCCCGGCACTCAGGAGGCTGATACAGGAGGATTCTTGCAAGTTCATTGGTTACAAAGTTAGCTCAAGGCCAGCCTGAACTGCATAATAAGATCCTGTCTCAAAAAAGACCAAAAAAGGGGGAAAAAAACCCCAAACCCAAACAAACAAAAAACCCAACAACAAGAGATAAAAAAGCACCCTCAAGTGTTCATACTTCACAGGATCCAGTGACCCCTGCTTTGAGGAAAGACTCCCTAAATTGGTGCTCTCCTGCTCCTGTGGCAGTCTCTTTTCCCGCATCCACAAACACCAAGATCTATGAAGTGTGTGGATTTGGGCTTCCAAAGCAGTTGACAGAAGACTGCCTCAACACTAAATATTAGTGAATATTTACCTACTAGCAAAATATAAAGATTTTCATTTGTGATGGCAAAATGTTTCTCTTTTTCATGTCTTTATTCTCCTGAGTGGCTGGGGTGAGTGGTGCTCACTCCTGTGCCTGGCTGTTCCTTTTTAAGGCTGAGTAACATTCCATCACACAGATCTGTCATGTTGCATTTGTTCATTGGTCCATTAGCAGGCACTTGATTTTCCCAAGCCTTTAGCAGCTGTGGGTGCTGTGCTGGGAAAACAGTGCCTAAAAGTGACCCTCTGCTTTGGTTTCTTTGGCGCATACCCTGAACTGAACTCTGGGTGCTGTGGTCAGGCTTTAGTGTCCTGATGATCTGACACACTGTGACGCACGTCTGTGCTGAGAGCTGGCCTTCTCCAGCCTCCTCTACTTTATGCTTCGGGGCACCGTCAAGTGTGATGTGAAGTTCACAGCCTGGATGTGATTAGTGCAGGACCCACTAAAATTTGGGACTTTAACCCACACAACACACAGAGAAATGTAACGGCATCAGGCATGAGAATGAGATTCCAAGCAGTTTTCAGTATGATTTTCTTTTGAGACTAGCTCTTGTTATGAAGTTCAGGCTAGCTTTGAGCTCGCTCTGTAGCTCAGGCTGGTCGTGAATTTGCAGTCCTCCTGCCTCGTGTTTTTTTGAGACAAGGTGTAACCAGGCAGGCCTCAAACTTGCAGTGATCATCCTGCCTCGAGCGCTGGGATCACAGGTGTGCATCATCAAGCTCAGCCAAGCCTGAGGCAGGTGGATCCTTGCAAGTTCAAGGCCAGATTGGGCTACAAAGTGAGCCCAAGACCATTTTGATGATAGTTGCTGATAGGGAGATGGCTACACCTGCTTCATTACAGGGCTCATTGAGGAAGTCTGCATGTTTAGTTTTGGGAGCTGACCCTACTTCCCCACCAAAGCAGCCCCGGAGACGTCTGTGCAACAGTCTGCAGCGTGGAGGGATCATGGGCTGTCTGAGGACCTCAGGGTTGGTTTTGCAGAGAATCAGTCTTTCAAGGCCAATCTTGTCCACCTGTTTTTTCCTGTGACTGATCATGTGGAGTTCAGTCATGTTTTGTGACACCAGTAAATGAATACTTTGTAAAATATTTTGTAAAGTGAAATATTCTTACCTGTAAACCTATGAACTCTAAATAACACACACACACACACACAATTTCTGTAGTTTTATATATTAAAAAGTGACAGTAACAAACGCTTTCCCCTTGTTGGGGAGTGATACATCTATTTTTCCATGAAGAGGGACTTAAAAAGTAACAGCCTTTTGTCCAAGTTGAACTTACATAATTGCACATGTCATAGAAAGCATGAAGAAATGCTATCAAAGAGCAGCCTCCCCAGGTCCTGGTGCAACACACCGGAGAGGTGCAAGTCCAAGGGGACCCCCTGAGTGGAGCAGTCCTGGGAGGGACAAGGGGGAGCAGATGGATTCTGCAGCAGCGCAGCGGCAGGAACCTTGAGATCAGAGTGTTCATCCAGGCTGAAAGCCTCCCCTAGCCTCTTTGGTTTTGGGTTGTGGGCCTAGCGCAGCAGACCCAGATGAACAACACCAAGCATGCTATAGACGCTTCTTCTATGCAGGTCCTTTCTGGGCCCTCACTTTCTGTCACACATGCAGACTTCACTGGCATCTACTGCATGCCAGCTGAGGGCACAGCAGGTCCTGGCACAACTCCAATGCTCTTAGTGCGGTGGTCACAGGAAAATTGGTACGGGGCCTGGGGCAGCCCTGCTGTGTCCGTGGTGACCATGTGGGCACCGTGCGTCACGCTGCTGTGTCTGTAGCAAAGCCAAAGGAGGAGTGCACGACAGATGTATGGAGAACAGGACAACACTGATTCTCTCTGTCTTAAGAAGCTACAGTGTCTTTATCTGAAGATTGTTTTCATTCACCTTAATTTCAGGACATGATGATCATGGAGGGGTTTTCCTTTTCTGACCTTACAAAAATTAGTGAGGAGCTGGGAGTGCAGCTCAGCCATGGGGCACTTGCCAGGCATGCATAAGCCCTTTGATCTGCACCACTGAAGGGGGTAGGGAGGAAGATCTACATGTGTCCTACACAAAGATGCACATAAAATATATTCTGGGGGTGGGGCTTCAGTCTCACTATGTACTTCAGGCTGGCCTTGAACTTGCTGAGATCCTCCTGTCCCAACCTTCTTGAGTTCTGGGATTACTGACCTGTGCCACCACACCCAGGCTTTCAGTAAGGGTTGCTGCCTTTGGCCAGTGTGATCCCTTTGAGCGTGGCTCGGAGGTTGATGCATTAAGAACCTATGATGAGGGGCTGGGGGTTTAGCTCAGCGGCATAAGCACCTGCCTTGCAAGCAGGCGGTCGTGAGTTCGATCCCTGGAACCGATAAAAATGAAAAAGACAAAAAAAAAAAAAAAAAAAAAAAAAAGAACCTATGATGAGCTGAGCATTTAACTCAGTGGCATAAGCCTGGCAAGTGCAAGATCATGAGTTCCATCCCCAGTACCAAAAAGAAAAAGAAAAAAAAAAAAAAAATCAGGACCTTTGACAGAGCCAGCTGCTACGTGGTGTACTGTCATCCCAGTTACTAGGTAGGCTGATGTGGGATGGTCACTTGAGACCCTGACTTTGAGACCAGCTTGGGCAATACAGTGTGGCCTCCATGTCCAAACTAAAACTCGCACTTGTGAAGCACACATGTTTGTCTGGGAAAGGAATCATCTTTACATGGAAGAGACGGCTAGAGGGTGGAATCTGAGGCAGACGAAGATATAACCCTGCTTTTTCTCTTCCACTTTTTTTTTTTGTCTTTTTCTTTTTTATCAGTACCAGGGATTGAACTCACGACTGCCTGCTTGCAAGGCAGGCGCTTATGCTGCTGAGCTAAATCCCCAGCCCCTCCACTTTCTTTTTTATGAAGAAGCTAAATATTCTCTAAGCCCCAGCAACCAAGGGGCAAAAAAGGCTTAAAACTGTTTTGTTCAGTCCCTGCCGCTGCTGGAATCAGGACTGTGGCTGAAAGAAGGGAGCCCCTGAGGCCTCCTAAGGCTCCTAGAAGAGGACGGAGGGACCCAGGGGAGGTGAACTTGGCTTCCCAGGTCACTGATGGGTGGCCCTCAGCATGGGCAGAGACAGTGGTGAGCTTAGAACGCAGGCATTGCACAAACATCTGTGACATTAGCTGGATCTCAGTGAAAATGCAGGAAGGGAAGGGCCCAAAGAGAGAAGAGAGTCTTGTGAGTGTTTAAGTGTGCTCACTGGAATGCATGGACATATATAGCAAGACCTTGCTTTCCATTTCAAAATTAAACTACAGAATTAATGTTACTATTGCTGTAGTAACAAACTATTCCACAACTCACTTTTCCAGGTTTCCATCTACTTAACAAAGCCCACACATGACTGCGCACATCCGTGGTGAGGCCTGGCAAGCGCCAAGAGGCACAGACACAGGCACAGAGGCCTTGTCCTGACCCTGCGAAGCTGTGGGCCACGGCGGGGTCAGGATGCTCTGCTGCAGATCTGTTCCAGCTCCTTCAGGTCTTTGGGACAATCTGCCGACAGGATGAGAGGTGAGTGCTGCGTCACCACTACGTCATCCTCAATCCGCACACCAAGACCCCGAAACTTCTCTGGAGCGTCTCTGTCATCCTCTGGGACATAAATGCCTGGGAAGGGGAGAGAAGAGCACAGTGTTCCGTGGGGACAGTGACTGGGGACATGGGGCCAGCTTGCTTCTCCATGTTACAAACCCTGCATCCACACCTGGATCCTAGGAGTAAAGGAGTCAATACAAGCAATATAGCCTGGTTTGGAATGGCCAGTGATGTCGGCTGTCACTGCTAGAACTACGATTATAGTCATTTGGAATATCAGATCAAGGTTTCATACGACTACTCTAATGCTGATCACGATTCTACCACTTCTTATGGCTCGAGGAGGCCATTAAAATTGCTTAATGTATGACTCTGTCTATATTTATGAGTATACCTGTATGAGCTGGGCCAGCAGGTTAATATGAGTGCACTCCTCCTCTGCCCTAGTGGGCCCAAGAAGAAAGGGCATGTAGTCAAACTGAGATAAAATGGCTGGGCATGGTGGCCCATGCCTGTGATCCCAAAACTTGAGATGGTGAGGCAGGAGGATCAACTCAAGTTCAAGGTCAGCCTGGGCTACGTGGTGAGTTCAAGGTCAATCTGAAATACATAGCAGGACCTTGTCCAAAACAACCACAAAGGATATACAACAAAAACTAAAATAACTTTCTGCTTCCACGATCAGCCAGACTCAGTCTTTTTTTTTTGTTGTGTGTGGTACTGGAGATTGAACTTACAACCTTGAATTTGCCAAGCAGGCACTTATGCCGCTGAGCTAAACCCCCGGCCGAGACTCAGTCTTTTTTCACCATGAAGGAACTGCAAACCTCTGCCACGCTCACCACAGAAACTGCTCTGTGATAGAGAACAGCAGCTGAAAGCATAAGCAGAATTGAAGGAAGCACTGGGGTGGATCCATTAGTGGACTGAACTGACTGGCCTAGATGACATCCAAGGCCACAGAGCCACAAGTGACTGGGTTCGAATCTACTCCCCAGACCCAGCTGACCTGAGAGATGAAAGCATTATGATCCAAGGAAAACAGCAGTGGAGGGTGTGAGGTATGGGGTGCTAGGGAGTGGGTCTGCCGTGCAGCCCAGTATAGGGGACAGGGCCATGACAGAGGACGGCGAGTCTGTGTGTCTCTGCATGCATCTGCCAGGTTCTGGCAGCCTCCACAGCCCACTGCTGCTGACGGCCCACAAAGGCAGGGTAAAAAAGATTTATTTCTTAATAGCTACTTATAGAAAGTCTTCACCATCTGTTGTTTATTGGAAAAGTCAAATTAAAGAAATTGTGTGATGATAAATAAGAAAGCTAAAGATAAATCTCAACATCACCTTCCGTACTAGTGGAGTCTCTTCTGCTTTAGTTATGTTGGTTTAGGTTAAAATACACAGGTGAACCTCACAGTACCATGTGGCCCAAAGGGTGGAGCTGTGAACCAGCTCCTCACCTGGTTCAATGGTGATCACCATCCCAGGCTGCAGCGGGAGGGAGCGGGACATGTCTGGGGTGTCGTGCACATCCATCCCAAGGTAGTGACCCACGTGGTGAGGGCAGTATTTCCGAGCAGCCTGCAAAAGACAGTGTAGTGGGTTAAATCTAAAATGCCACCAAGAGTCTCTCGTGTTCAGGGGTGGGGCTTTTGGAAGGTGACTGGATCATCTGTGATTCACCCACTAATGAGTGTCTAGTTGAATGTGTTGTTTGAAGGTGGGGCCTGACTGAAGGAAGTGGGTTAGCAGGGGTGTGACATGGGAGGGCATATGCTTACCCCCAGCTCCTCCCTCTCCCCTCTGCTTCCTGGCTGCCAGGGAGTGTGGAGCTTTCTTCCACCTTGTCCATCTACCATGCTTTGGAGTCAGGCAACCATGGACTGAACCCATTAAAACTGTAAGCCAAATATACCTCTAATCCTTTAAATTGTGGGTGTCTGATATTTTGAGTCAGCAGTGGGAAAGTGATTAATACAGGTAATCAGCACAGTATTATTATAGCAGTGACCTCTTATGGAAAAATGTATAAATCAGTGCAATATGTATTAATACATCCTGATGGTTCTGCCACTTATGTTTAATTTGTCCTTGGGCTGTTGCTTAAGAGATGTGATACTGGGACTGGGGCTGCTGCTCAGTGGTATAGCATGTTCTTAGCATGCTTAAGGTCCTAAGTTCAATCTCCAGTACTCCCCTCCCCCCAAAAAAAATAGGAGAGGGAGGGACAGAGGAGAAATCTGATAAACTGGTACTTTTTTTTTTTTTGGTCTTTTTCCTTTTTATCGGTACCAGGGATCGAACTCACGACTGCCTGCTTACAAGGCAGGCACTTATGCCACTGAGCTAAATCCCCAGCCCCTAAACTGGTACTTCTTATAAGCAGTTTTGCCAAATGCAGTCTAATCAAGTCACATTTCCACCTCCCTATGACATCTATCTACCTGCTGCCTTGCAGAGCCCCAGTGATGACTGGCAATGAAAAATCTCTTTTCTTGAGGAAGAGAACATGACTGTACTAGGACTGTTATCTTTTCAGTGTCCATGCAGCCTTCTCAAGAAGCCTCAAGTACCCCATGGAAGCTTGTGAGCAGCATAATTACTGGGCATTACCAGCTGGGTACTTCCATCTGTAAAGTTAAAATCTGTTGATCTAAGGAATGTGGAACTTTCTTTTCTGTGGGTAATGGGAGCCCTGGGAACCTTAACTTGAAGGTGGAAAATACTAATGGATCATCCGCTTGACCTCTTAGCATTTAATTTTAAAGCTAAGGTTTCAAATTTTGACTGGGCACCCTTACATCTTGATGTCCACTGTAACAGCAAACTTGGTGTCTAGCAATCAATCTAGCATTATATTTTGGGTCTATCTGGCAAGTAAAATTCCCTAACACTGTGGCTCCTGGGCATACGGTTGAAGCCAGCTTCTCCCCTCTGACCTCAGAAAGGGTTCGGGTTAACTGAGACTGCTTTTTTTGTGTCCTTTCCCACCCTGCACACACCAGACTTCATTTTGTTTCGCCCATGCTGGGCGGGTGATGCGGTGGCAATGCATCACAATGTGCTGCCATCTTCTGGCAGAAGGGAGCACCGACTCCCTTTGTTTTAATCCACAGAGCCCCAAGTCCCTACATAGCGTTTCTAGTGGAATTAGCTGCATCCTGGTGAAAATAGAGTGGGCACAGGGGAAGTGAAGCACCTTGAAGGCACCATTTTCCTTGCCGCTCCTCGAGATCCCCAGCTCTCGGAGCCTCTGCCCGATCAACGTGAGCATTGTGCTGTAGATGTTCTCCAGGCTCATCCCCGCTGAGCAGAGGGACAGGCAGGCTCTCTGGACCTCCAGGACAGCTTCATAGAGCTCTGCCTGAGGGGCGGTGAACCTGTGAACAGAAACCCAAAGGACAGGAACTGTGAGACGTGTGACGAGGGAAACCTCAGGCTGACACATTTAAAAGCACCAACACATTGTTATGGCTACACAGACCCTGCAGACAGGGCTCTGGATGCCCAGATCAGTGGTGTTTGTATCACTGAAAAGCTCTAGAAGGTTCTCCGTCACTGCCCTAGGTGCTCAGAGGGAGAGTGACAGGCCATTAGGCTGGGGTGGCAACACAGCCGCTCCTTCAAAGCTCAGCAGGGCTTCTGAGTGACCTGGGTAGTAGGTGATACCCAGTCACATACACTGGGAGTGTCAATTAATACAGCCAAATAAATCAAAGGCCTAAAGATAATCATGTTTTTTTTAAGATACAAGTTTTTTTTTTTTTTAATCCGTACTGGGGATCGAACTCATGACCGCCTGCTTGCGAGGCAGGTACGCTGCTGAGCTAAATCACCAGCCCCATGATATAAGTTTGTAATTTTAATCGAAAAATTCATCTTAAGAAAATAACTGAAATTTCAAACAGTTGATGTATAAAACAGTTCACTGCGATGTTTTCTATAATTTCAAAATACTGGACAAACTTTACAGATCCTCTCAGAGAAGAATGGTTAAATATAACAATAGGATAAACACCTAGGCGCCCATCTCTCAGGCTCAGCAATAACCAAGATTGAGGATACTGAACTCCTAAGTTCTGCTGAGGCTCCTTCTGCCTGAGATCCTCCAGGAGCCTCTCTGGAGGGAGCTACTTGCGTACTTTGGGCTTTCAACCAGACTCAGACCCTAGAGGGCCCCAAGTCAGGTATGATGTGTGGCCCGAGAGAAGGTGCACCACACACCCAAGTGCAGGTAGGACTGCTAACACATGCGGGCAGAGATCTGGGGACGTGTGTGCCAGAGGCTGTGTTGAGTATGGGACAAGGGCGGCAGGAACAGAAAGCTGGGCTGGGCGCAGTCTATCAGGGTCCACTAGGCAGAGGGACAGGGAAACTCTAGAATTTGGACTGTTTTCTACAGAAACACAAACCAAAAGGAAGCCATGACAAATACCAGAACTGCATTATCACCCTTCCCCCAGGATACTCTTTCCTTTATTTATTTATTTGAGCCTTGGTCTCAATAGGTCACTTAATTGCCCAGGCTGTGCTTGAACTTGCAATCCTCCTGCCTCAGCCTCCAAGAGTGCCGGGATCACAGGTATGCACCACTGTATCCAGCTGGATCACAGACCTTTGCTCAAGTTTTTCACCTGCCAGTTGTACAACTGTGGCCAGCTCCTGCAACTGTGTGAATCAATCCCTAAGAATTACTCTACTTCCCTACCACCTGTACACACACACACGGACTCATGAACTGCACACTAATTTTTTTTCTGGTACTGGGGATCTAACTCACGACCTCACACTTGCCAGGCAGGTGCTTATGCCACTGAGCTAAATCTCCAGCCCATACACTAATGTTTTGATTAGTGATGACCTCAGGTCTGTACAACAGTCATCTCACGGACTTTCTGAGACTAGGTCTCAGAATGTAGTCCAGGCTGGAGCTGTAAAGACTGAAAGGCCCTTACTAAAGTTTACTTAAAGGAAGTGGCTTTTATTAACAGCCGAATTTGGTGGCATTTGCTTACAATCCCAGCACTCAGGAGGCTGAAGTCAGCCTGGGCTACAAAGTGAGTTCGAGGCCGACCTGAACTACACAATGAGATCTTGTCTCAAAAAACCAAAAAAAAAAAAAAAAAAAAACAAATTATTGAGGTTGGGAAAACAGCTTGCCTGACCTATGAGTGTCCATATGATTCTTCAGTTGTTTATGCAAACATCCACTTTCCCACTCACGCCTACCATGGCAGGCCCGCCCCCTGCAAAGCCCTACCTGCCGTTGACAGGCCAGGTCCGCGTGATGTCGCTCACGTAGCAGGAAGACTCACAGCCCCCGTCCAGAAGAACCATCTCCCCGTCCTGAACAGAGGAGTGGGCCACATGAATGATCAGTTGCACAGTCGCTTCCCTGAATCTAAAGATGCTCTGTCTTTTTAAAGAAAGCTTCACTCTAAAGCAGACCCATCTCTGCCTGCTGCTCATGAGACACACACTGCCTGAGCTTTTCAAAGGGTTTGCGCGGCAGCACCTGGCGAGCAAGAGCCCAGGCTTGGGAATGGGTAGGGAAGGCACTGGGCAGCATACGTGTTACTGCACTGCTTACAGAGCCCACTTCAAGCAGTGCCTTATTCCAGCACATCCACCTGGAGCCATTTCACCTCACAATGCCACTTCCCTTCTGCACATTGTCCTGATATATGGGGGGAAAAAAAAATTTTGAGAGTATCTTTAACTGATCACTAGACATGACCTATTGATGTCCTTGAGGACAAGGCATACCTTTTTTATATCTGTATCTAAGTGTAAACTTTGTTTTTTAAAAATTTTTTTGTCTTTTTCATTTTTATCGATACCGGGGATCGAACTCACGACCACCTGCTTGCAAGGCAGGTGCTTATGCTGCTGAGCTAAATCCCCAGCCCCCTAAGTATAAACTTTGATATACAGTGAAGTAGTCATTAAGACTATGCATAGAACAAAAAAAAAAAAAAACCAAAAAATAAAAAATAAAAAAAAGACTATGCATAGAACAATGACAATTTTGAAGAATAGATGTTTTTTTGTTGTGACAAGATGGAATAAATTTCCTAATAGGAAACAATTAGGATAATATATTGGAATATATATATATATATATATATATATATTTTTTTTTTTTTTTGACACCTGGGATTGAATTCGCGACTGTGAGCTTGCAAAGCAGGCGCTTATGCCACTGAGCTAAATCCCCAGCCCTAGATAATATATTTTATAAAATCTTAACATTATATTGGTTTTTTTGAGACAGTATCACTACATAGTTTAGACTGGCCTTGAACTCACTTTGTAGCCCAGACTGGACTCAAACTTGCAGTAATCTTTCTGCTTCAGCTTCCTGAGTGCTGAGATTACCAGGCATGGACTACCATGTCCCGCTCAATACAGACGCTTTTTAATGAAAATTAACTTGAGAAATTAGGTTGCTGAACTTTCTGCTGGATTGCTTGGCCCTCAGAGAGCAGCACTGAAAGGCATACTATATACCTTGATGAGCTGATTATTCTTCACGTAGTGCAAAGTGTTGGACCGGTTCCCACCAGCAACCACAGGTGGATAGGCCAAGATGTCTGCCCCGCGTGCCCGACATTCAAACTCAAACTGTGAAGAAATACGAGGTGTGAGTCATGTTCTTGCATTTTATATTTCCACAAATCAGACTGTCTTTATAGCCTCTGCCTCCACTGCAGCGCTCACTGGAAGCCACGACTACAGCACTTCAGTGCTGTATCTCTGTGCATTTCCTTCTCACCTGTATGTTGTCTCTTTCATTTGACCCAGCCATTCCCCTTCTTGTTGTCTTCCGGAAAGAATTAAAAGCGTCATCCCACAACAATACATGTGTACCTGTGTTTATAGCAGCATGGTCTGTAATAGCTAAATCTTGGAAGCAACTTAAGTGCTCATCAACTGATGAATGGATAAAGAAGATATGGGTTTTTTTTTTTTTTTGCTCTTTTTCGTTTTTTTTGGTACCAGGGATCGAACTCATGACTGCCTGCTTGCAAGGCAGGCGCTTATGCCGCTGAGCTAAATCCTCAGCCCCAATATGGGTTTCTTTATACAGTATAGTATTATTCTGTCATAAAGAAGGGTAAGTTTAGGGCCAGGGGATTTAGCTCTGTAGCATAAGTGCCTGCCTGGCAAGTGTGAGGTCGTGAGTTCGATCCCTGGTGCCACAAAAAAAAAACAGAAACAAACAAAAAAAAAGGGTAAGGTTAAGACTTTCCTAGGTAAATGAATTTATCTTGAAACCATACTCTCTAAAATGAAATAAATGGGATATTTGTGTGTAAATACTGCATTGTTCCTCTAGGGTGAGAAACTGAAAGTGTTAATAAGGACTAAAATAAAATATGTAACAGATATTGGGAAATGGGAAGAAGATGTTCAAACGAGAAGGGGGACAAGGGAGAGGGAAGGGAGAAAGGAAGGGAAAAGATAAAATAGAAGGTAAACACAGACACAGAGGTTTTATAAATGAGGGGGAGGGGGATGAGAAAAAAGAAGCAAGATGTATCTCATATAGGTACAGATTCCCAGTGATGAAGGCCATCCTTACGCAGCTCTAAGTCTGATTCCAGCCTTTCAAAGGGCGCCAACCTGAAGGCTCTGGAGGAGTGAGAGTGGCCACCAGGTTTCTAGTGCGCCTGGAGGTGCAACATCCGTGTTCACCGCACACAGCCTCAGCGCCACCTGCCTTCCCGTCTGCCCAATGCTGCTCCTCCCATCTCACTCCTGCTTCCCTTCATTGGCTCTGTTTCACAGCTTTCTCTCGGGCACTGTGGCGTGCATGTTGTAGACTCCCGTGCTAAGCTAAGTCTGAGGCCACCTGATGCCCAGCTGCCTCCCGCTGGCCCTTCCCCCCCCTCACCTTGGCGTAGAGGAAGGCTTCCTCCACCGGAGCTTTGCTGGCAAACATGGTCTCTATGAACGCCTGCAAAGACATAAGAACAAGAACATGGTCTCGTTTTCACTGTGTTGCGAACTCAAACATTCAAAACACTGCAGTTCACATTTTAAAAAGGCAACTTTCCCTCTATTTTTGTCAACCTGAGGTTGTGACTGAGTGGGTACAATATAGATTCCCAGAGGGAACTGAAAGCAGTTTTTTTCCCTCTAGGAATGACAGATGACAAATTCCATGGAAGGCCACCTGAGCCTCCTACTGGGAAAGACATTGTGTGCCAAGCAAGCAGTGCAACGGGTCTGCCTGAGACTCTGGGTAAAAGCCTATAGCACTGCATGTTGCAACATGAGAGCCAGGGCCTCTGAGAAGCTAGAGAACCAGGGCCCAAGCACCCCGTCACAGGGCTGGAGGAGTCAGGCCCTGCGTGCTGTCCCTCCCCGGAGGACACAGAGGTCCTCCTCCGCTGCCCTTACTGCTCTACACAGACATGCCAGGAAGAATAGCCGGATGCTGATTATGTTGTCACCTTGCTCTCACTTTCCAGCCTCTAGAACTGTGAAGACACAGCACAGCCAGTCTCAGGCATTGCTAGGGCAGAACAAATGAGTAAGACACAAACACATCTGCCACTTAAGTACCCTGATGGACGCTTCTAGAGCTCCGGCCTCTGGAATTACAGGTTGAATGGTGTCGTCTGCAGCAGTGTTTCCCAGCCTCAGCAGTGTTAGGCTGTGGCTAAATAGTTCCTTTTTGTGGGGGCTGCACAGTTCAGTGAAGGACACTGGTGGCCACATGACCAGCAGACATTGCCAAAAGTTCCCTAGGGAGCTGGGCATAGTGGTGCACACTAGTAACCCTAGCACTCAGGAGGTGGAGGCAGGAGAACTGCCTTGAGTTCAAGGCCGGCCTGAACTACATAGCTTATCCTATCTTAAAAAAAAAAAAGAGAGAGAGAGAGAGAGGAAAAAAAAAAAAAAAAAAAAAAAAAAGAAAGAAAATATCCCTCAGGGGACAAAGCTGTTCTTGAGAACCACTCACTAGTACAGGGACTTTTTATTAATTCTCTGTGATAGCCACACTTAATGCACGCAAATATTCAATATTTGTCACAGCATATAAGCTTCTAAGTCACCAATATACTTTGTTTGAAAAACTTTTTTTTTTTTGTTTCTTCTATGCACAGCCTCCTTTATGACTATGGTTGTTATGACTGGGCAGCAAATTTATCTCTGCTTTCTAGCAGGCAATGTGAAAAGGGAAACCGTGGCAGCTCTGTGATTCCCAATGTTTGCTGGATAAAAACTAACCAATTTCAGAGGGTTACGAAGAGACCACACTGCATCATGAAAAGGATTTCTCTCAAGCTCTGACCTGAGAATGAGAATGGATGGGGGGCTGGGAATTTAGCTCAGCGGCATAAGCGCCTGCCTTGCAAGCAGGCAGTCGTGAGTTCGATTCCTGGTACCAATAAAAAGGGGGAAAAAAAAAAAAAGAAGTAGGCTGAGAATGGATGGAACACTGAGAGGGATGTTCCAAACATTTCTCTCCCTGTAAAGAAAGGAATCATCATGTATCACAAACATGTACAAAACACAAAAACGCCAGGGATTTAGCTCAGCGGTGTAAGCGCCTGTCTGCCAAGTGCAAAGCTGTTTTTTGTCTCTCTCTCTCTTTTTTTTTTTTAGATAGGATAAGCTGGCACCAAATAAATAAATAAATAAATAAATAAATAAATAAAAATACAAACAAAAACCCCCTGAAAATAACCAACACTTCTCAACACTTTGCATTAGCAAAAAGCCCAACAGGTGAACTGCAAGTGTGCACCCAGTCCTGTATCTCCTGTATGAGAGCCCCCTCCTCAGGGAGAGGTGGCCCTGCCCACCCGGCCGCCTTAGCCTCTCCTTTTACCCTGCTCTCCTAGCTATGGATTCAAAGTCTGTCTGTTCTCCTCACCGAGACCCAAGGCTGAGGCTGGGAGGAATGGGCGTTGCACCCTCAGGACCTACAGTAGCGCATGGTACTGAGTGGTTGCACAAAAAGTGCTGCTGGGTGACAAAGCAGTGAACAATGGCTGAAGGACAGACAAACACTGAGCAGTAACTAATTTTAGCATGAAGCAAAAACAAAACAAAACAAAACATAACAAAAGTAACAGCTCCGGTGAGTTCGTTTACTCAGAAGAGCCCTTTCTCTTTCTTCTCTTGAATGCTTACTGGACAGCGAAGAGGAGTTCTGAAGTCATGGTCCTTTTACACGCTATGCAGCGCAACCCACACGACAGGCTGATGTTACCTTCATTATAGCTGTGGACACTAGGGCCCACTTAAGGCCAGTGACCTGGCCTAAGGACATGGCATGGCACCGACACACAGGCCTCTGTGCATTTTCCACTGTACCACTCTGCCTTCCCACAGAAGATAAGGGACATAGACGTCAGGGTTAGGCAGAAGCTACTACGGAGCCTGGCCAAAGCCCGAAACATGGCCATGAAGTGTGGCTAGTCGTTCCAGAGCAGTCTGTCAGCTTTGCAGTCCTGACAGCAGCCATGTTAACTCTGAGTCGCTCTGTGCATCGATGGTAGCTCCTGGGCTGTGACAGGAAGTGCAGCCCCATTGGCCTCACTAAGGAGGTCATCGGGAGTCTGCACACGACTTCCCCAGATGCCTTGCTTCTTCAAGACTGCCACTGGCTGTGATCTTATGTTTTTCCTCTTTTCTTTTTTCAGTACCAGAGCCTCTGTACTGAGCTATATTCCCAGTCCTCTGCCCTTTTTTTGAGACAGTCTTGCAAAGTCACTAAGTTTCACAGGCTGGACTCTAATTTGTGATCTTCCTGCCTCAGCTTCTCAGAGTGCCAGGATTACATGTATGTGCCACCATGCCTGGAGGCTGTGATATTTTAATGTTGTTTATTAAGCACTTCCTCCATATTAACTGTAGATCTGTAAGCATAGTCACCGTGTCTTTAAAAATCAAATGCTATGTAAGCCATGATTAACGCATCTCACTTCAAAAGTGAGAATACTTAAACTGGTCATGGTGTATGCCTATAATCCCAGCTACTAGGGAAGCTGAGGCAGGAGGATGGCAAGTTCAACTAAGTCTGGGTAATCTAGCCAGGGCCTGTCTAGATGATATTAAAATAAAACATACAGGAAATGGCAGAGGATGTAGCTCAGTGGTAGAATGCTCCTGGGTTCAAATCTCAGCCTTCAAGACATAGGAATACATAAAGACACCTAACTCATTTTGTTTTTATTGTGATGAAATTCATATTACATAAAATTAACCAAGAGAAATTGTAGGGTGAGGGGTCTGTAGACAGGGAATAAAACAGAATAGGAGCAGCATTAGGTCTTCTAGCTAATCCTGACTAGGAGGAGTCAAAAACAAACTTTACTAGAGAAATTCCCCTGGGAAATAGGTCAAGGATGGGTGCAGAAAAAGAGAAAACCACAGATAAAGGAATGACCTTGGGACTTGCACCAAGAGATTAAATAATGAATGAGCTGACAGATAGGACACAAATGATAAGCCACCTCCACCTCCTGGAGAAAACAAAGGGAGGGCTGACTTTAAGGCATATGGACTCACACCTATGTGCTAACACTGTGTGTTTAGTCACTAGAGTAGACCACTGCAAGAAGACACAGTGGACAGAGGTGCCTGGAAGCCAACCCAGTTATGGTAAGTTCCGAGTGGGGATAAAGGGTCTCTGATCCCCCTATAAAAGCAGCTGGGAATAAAGGTCCATGGGTCACTCATCATTCTGGAACCCCCTAACCCCTCTTTATCAGGGTCACTATCTTCTCTTCTTTATTCCCTATTTCTTCTTTTCAAATAAAATGTCATCCATTCATCAAATGCTGTCCTTCTAACTTTTTTTTGTATCAGGAATCAAACTCATGACCTCGTGCTTGCCAAGCAGGTGCTGTGCTGAGGTACATCCCCAGCTGTGTCTCTCTAATTTTGTATTGGGGCTGAGTTTATGATCGTGGCAGGCTGCGTGGACAGCAGAGCAGCAGTGTTTGTCCCATGATGTAACATCGTTGGTTCCCTGATCATGACCTGGACATGACAAAATGAACAATTCAGTGGCATTTAGTAAGTACATTTACTATGTTTTGCAAACACAGTCTCTAGTTCAAAACATTTTCATCGGGGGTGGGGGTTTAGCTCAGCGGCATAAGCGCCTACTTTGTAAGCAGGCAGTCGTGAGTTCGATCCCCGGTACCGATAAAAAGGAAAAAGACAAACAAAACAAAACAAAACAAAACAAAACATTTTCATCATCCTTTCCCTCTCCAAAATCAGAGTATTTAATTCCTGTTCTGAAAATACCACCTCTGGAATCTTTTAATCTGCTTTCTGTCTCTATAGATTTACTGGTTCTAGATAGTATGTATACATCAAATTATACAAAATGTGAATTTAGCCGGGGGTAGTGGTACACAACTGTAATCACAACATTCGAGGGCTGAGGCAGGATTTAGTGAGTTCCACACCAGTCTTAGCTACAAAGTGAGCTGCATAGCGAGACCCTGTCTCCAAAAAAAAAAAAAAAAAAAAAGTGAATTGATGGAAAAAATATGAATTTCTGTGTCTGTCTGTCTTTTTTTTACTTTGCAGATTTTCTTTGTTTTTCTTGGCTTTTTGTTGCTGTTGTTTATTTTTTTGAGACGGGATCTTACTTTTGTGGTGCACTCCGACCTTGAGCTCACTATGTACTGCAGGCTGCCTTTACAGTTTCTCCTCCTAGGTTTATGTAACAAATCCATTTTGAGTTAGCTTGTATTCCAGTATATTGGACTAAATTTCTTTTAAGTTTTGTTCTTTGTTCATCTTTTTCCTACCTGACTCATTTTGCATTAAAATATGAGTACAGTGTTCTTTTGAAAGAAAAAAAAGCTGACTTTGAAACCAGATAATAAAATAATAAGTCAAGTTATCCTTGGTTTGAAGTAACACATGCTTTAAGATCTGTGGAACCTGGGAAACACAGGAGCTAGAAAAAAGATTTAGAAG